GAGTTTGCCAACGATACTCTCACCTGATAAGTCGTCTCCCGTCTGCCATCCCGTTGTCTCACCGCCGTCAAGCCTTGTATCATCCTACCCACCCACTTGCCTCTACGAGATGAACTTCACTAATCTCCCCCAATATAACCAGGTACGGGCAAGACCCAACCTTCACCAAGCGCTCGGTCAATTTCGATGCGCCGTCCAGCAAGCCGCTTAGCAAGCGCTGCGGCAGCGCCCTGCCCACCCCATTACAGGAATTTCTACTGATCCTTCATTTCCGTTTGCAGGACGCTGATAAACGACCTGCCTGACATCGGGATCCCCAGCAGCCCGCGATCAACTTGGTACGACGTCGCCAGCTTTGAGTACTGCATCAGCTGAGGCAAGGTCATCGAAAACGGGCGCCTCCCAGCGCTAGCATATGCCGCGAATAAGGTTATGGATGCATGTGCCGTGAGCAATTCGAAGGGGGAGGTGTTGGTTTCAGACATGACGAAGGATATCTTGGTTGGAGGTATCTGTCTTTAATAATGCTTGAGCAACAGAGCTAATTATTGTGATAGTAGCTAGGTGGGTGACTGCCAACTAAGGGATCGTAGGAGCTTTATAGATGTTCTGGATACAGAGCAAATGCCTTCTTGTCTCCTTGGTGCATCCGTATGACTGGTTGGGAAGTCATTGGAAACCGATGAGCGTATGAATGATGGGATGAGAAAGTAGCAACACGGATGAAGAAGTAGGAAATGTTATTCAGCAAGCTCAGGGGTGAGTGTGTGACAATGTGTTGGAAAGTTTTTTTTCCACCGTCTGTAATAGCTGCTAGATACGCTTAAAAAGAAACCTGTATCGACTATAACAAGGTGCTCGCAAGTACTTACACAGGGAAATTGTTCTGCTGCAGCAAGTGTGTCATTAGAGACGATCCGCGAAAGTGAGCTCGTAGGTCGAGTCCTAAGTGATAGGTCTGAAAGGATTTGTGGTCTCGACTTGAGCGGCTATGCCTGCGAAGTTCAACTCATATGAACCTGTTCATTGACATGTTCCCGAACTCTAGACACCAGCCCGGCGTTCGTTGTATCGAGGAGTATGAAAAGGTTCATCATGTACTGCAAGCGAACTGACAGCGTGTTGAAGTAATGCATCATGAAGTACTCACATCAATCCCCGCTCAAAGGTCGTGGAAAGAAGGATGGACTGCCCCTCTAGGACTCGAACATTGCCGAGCATCGATAAGTAAACCAAAAAGTAAGTGAAATACCACCAAAAATGAATCCCAAATCATCTCTAACCGTTTTTGGACGAGCTGGGAATCGAACCCAGGACCTTTCGCATACAGGTGAGTATGCTAAGCGAACGCTCTACCAACTGAGCCACACGCCCGGAAAGTGGGGATGAAGATGATTGAGAAGTGGACGAGCTGGGAATCGAACCCAGGACCTTTCGCATGCTCAGGAACATGCTAAGCGAACGCTCTACCAACTGAGCCACACGCCCTTGATCTTGTTGTTGAGTCATTGTCTTGGAGGTCGGCTTTTCAATCACGGTGTTTGGGTCGTTCGATGTCCAACGGATGTGGTGATGCTGAATTTTGAGTGGTGATACGTGTGAGGTTGATGTGGAGCACCGACGCCAACATTTTGCGCGGGCTTGCTGCTGCAGTAACAGCTCTCGGCGAAGTTTGAAAAGGGATGTGAATGAGAATAGACATCCGATCGCGATGAGTTGATGGAATGATGAAATTGAGCGTGTCCCGTGTCCTGATTCAGGTTGTGCGGTGATGGCGTTGATACTTGGTGACGCAACACTCGGCGAAACGAGAAAGGGGTAAAGTGGTTAGACACGGATTGCTGACCTGACTCATGTCGAGATGCGTTAGTCCTGTCTCAGGCCAAATGGAGTTTTCCTTCAGATATTGGCGGAAGACGCGTCCGTCTATGGTGATCTTGGGGTTGAGAGACGAAGTCCCCCTTTACTGGGCGACTGTTCACCGACTGGGGGGTACCTGTCACCTCACAAAGCGGCGAGTGTTCTGCGATATGGATGAGTCAGCCTACATGCTTGAGAAGAGTTGATGTATCCTAGTTTGTGGTGAATAGGGCCCTGATGTTCTTATAGAATGAACAGAATAGATCGGAGTCGGTGTTGGCGGAGGGAGTGTAGAAGGGAGAATCGCGAGAAGGGAGCACTGCGGGGCGGGACACTGTTGCCTGTGCTGCGTCATTGCACGAGCGTGGGCTTGTTTGGCCAGCATGAGGTGCTCAAGTAATTTGCGGGATTGAAGGACGAAAGTGAAGAGGAGAAAAAAAAAAAAAAAAGGCTATGCGTGTAAGTAGACGAACGAACGAACGAGATGACAGTCGAAGAAGGAGGACTGGAGGTGAAGAAGGTGAGGTGAAGTTGGAGGTGAAGTGGAATGGGCGATACAGCCAGCCGGCGGATGAAGTGACGGAATCGGTCGAGGTTCGAAGGCTGTCGCCCAATTGGGAGAGCGGTTGGCAGGAACATTGTGGCCTGTGCACCACGAGATGATGAGCAAAGGGAGCCCAGAAAGCACTGACCAATACTCTGGGTGGGGCCAAAACACGAGACACAATTGGCCAATGTGGCCTACAACACAACACTGAGCCTTCACTTGGCTTGGTTCTGCGGGAGCTTCAGGTTCAAGCTCAGGTCCGCGCTCTTACCTACATATTCACTTGATCAACTTTCGACTACTTAAGCCCCATTCCACCCTTTTCCCTTCATCAACCATCATCCCAATACGAACTCGGGACATCAAGCATTGACACGCAAATGCCCCGGGCTCATCCATACCCAATCCTCGCACCCTGCCCTTCTATCATTTGAGAGGGACCTCGCCCTTGCTCAGGCCTGGTCTCCATCTTTCACCGTCCGACTTGCGGACACTTCCCGTCTTCAAGTTGAAATAAGACCTACAACTTCCTCTCTTCAGGGGATTTTGACAGACATGAGTGCCTCGCCTACCGCCTGTCAAGATCTTGCTAGATCTGTTCTTGGTAAGTCTTACCCCATCTCCAAGCTCACTGCTTCGTCCTGCATCGGCCGCGATGTTAGGTCCGTGTCTCATTTTGGTCAATTACAAAACACTGTCCTTGGCTTCTCAGCTCCGAATTCTCACTTTCATGTCTAGAGAATATCTCAGGAATAAATCGCGCCCTCAATGTCACACCCGATGATGTGAACGGCGTCGATAGCGACCCAAAAATCAACGAGACACACGATGGCCACAACGATAAGGCCACTACAGAAGCCGGCAACGAGGCAGCTGGCACCGTCGAAGCTGTGAAACAAGAAGCATCCCGTTCGCCAGTCGAATCTTTCCACGAGCCTCCATTCTCATGGCTGTAAGTTCATTCGAAACAGACCCAACGCGAAGCGGACACTAACACTCATCTTGGCTCCAGTCAACCACACGCTCTCTTCGTTATCATCATGGTCGGCCCCGAGGGCATGCCTTTTGGCATCCAAAAGGACTTTCTCTGTGCAAAGTCCTCCTACTACAGGCGCTATTTCAGAGAAAAGGCGGCAAACAACGAGTCGGTCGAGGACGTAGTCGAGCTCCGCGATGCCTCGGTCGATGTCTTCGGTTACACCCAGCACTATCTTTACACAGGCCATGTTTATCCTGACACACCTCCCGACTACGAGGTTCTCATCGGCATTTGGAAGCTCGGTCACAGCTTGGGCATCGACGGCCTCTGCGACGCCACGATCGATGCCATGATCGAGTACCGCCGAATCACAAACTCGATCCCCGCCACCGCTCTTCTTGTTCAGGTGTGGGACGAAACCCCCGAGGGATCATCCATCCGGAAGCTCCTGCTTTCCTGGGCAGCCGATTATATGCGGGCCTCTGAGGATCGTGCAGAGTTTGCCAAGGCGCTGCCCCAAGAAGTTCTGAGTGAGCTGGTGGTGGCCATGAGCTCGCTGGATGCGACTCCGGCCCCGGCAGCAACCCCCTCTTCGCCCGTCTCACAGGGAGTCGTTAATTCTGCCCACCAAGGCTGGCACGATGCCGTCGCCAATTGTGATGGCGAGCAGGCCCGTCCTGCTAAGAGGGCCAGGTACTCCGACGCTGGCCACACAAACGGTGCTAAGGCTACGCCTAACGGCCGCAAGGGACCCGGTCGGCCCAGCACTACTGGTCCAAAGACCGGTCAGAAGAGGAAGTACAATGTGGCTAATGGGGAGGTTGAGCTTACCACCTCCAAGAAACTGGCGTTCTGCGACGATCTCCTTACGAGGATGCTCAGCGGCCCAGGTAATTTTCTCTTCCATGTCGAATGACGCCTTAGCAACATGGCCATATTTACTGACTTTACTCTGCTCACAGGCTTCTGGACCCGCCTTGTTGGCCCCTTCCGCGATCCCGTTAACCCCGAATCCGACGGTGTGCCTGACTACTTCGACAAGGTGGCCAAGCCCATGGACCTGCAAACAATGAGGGCCAAGATGGACCGCAACGAGTATGCCGACGAGAACGAATTCCTCGCCGACATGAACCAGATTTTCAACAACTGCTATACGTACTGGGCCAAGAAGGACCCCATGTGGCAGGCCTGCGAGAGGCTCCAGAAAACATTCGAGGACAAGTACTCGCAGATGTCCAAGTGGATTGCCAAGATGGAGGGCCAAGAGGGATCTAACTAGTCGCTCTGTCCAAATGGACTTTTTCACCAAGGCCCAAACGGCCAGATATGTCATGGTTGCGGAGGAAGCTGTTGAGAAAAAGCCGACAGTAATCTCTCGGTTGGATGGTGTCTGTATGGGTACGACTGCCATCGTCATCTCGATCGGATCGATTCCGATACAACCAAGAGTTTGCCTATGGTAGCGACAAGAAACAAAGTCGCTGGTTGGCTGGGCGTAATGGCCACTCATCAAAGGGGGAAAAGGGCGAAAGGAAAAAGGTGCTGTTCACGAAGCGAAAAGGAAACGGTGATTGGTTTTCTGGTGTAGCATTATTGGTGTCTCCTTGGTCATCATTAACCCGGCGGCGTTTGGGCTTGTTTATGATGGGCGGCGCTTAGGTCATTTTTTGTCCGCAAGCATGCCAGAGCGGCGAGACAGGAAGGGTCATTGTATTTGAATATCATTCTGATCAGGTCTAAGGATCGGTGGCTGGTCTTGTCGAAGAAAGACTCGGAAGGCGATGGAATAGCAACAATACTTAGGGTCATTCAGGAAGCTCTCTGATATTCAGGAAAAGAGAAGGGCAGGACAGATCACAAGCGACTGCGGTCTTGATATCCGTACCAACGATGAGGGCATATAATGGAAAGTCCTCTAATTCCAATTTGCAGACTTATTCTCATATCCAACGTGCGATGCTAAGCCTCCATGACGCATAATAATGACATCCCGAAAACAGCAAACCTACTCATTGAAAGAAACAAGACTAACCGGCAAACCCATATTCCACTGCATCGCCGTTCATCCTTGCAACAATGACCAACAGCCTTAACCCAATATTCATACAAGCGAATGGAAGCCTTTCAGTTCCACTTGACACCCAAGAACTTGAACTCCTTGTTGCCACCCTTCTTAGCAGCCGCCACTTCTGCCTCCTTATTCTCCAAGTAAATTCTCTGATGTCCCCTCACATCCACGTAAAATGTCTGGTACTCATGCTCCCAGTGACCCGGTTGCTTGGTCAGATGCAGCCCGACGACACCAGAACCTCTTGGTCCTTCGACCTGTTTTTCTTAGTGTTAGCCCCATCATCACAACAACTTTTTAACAAAACAGGGGAAAGAAGAAGAAAAAGAAGGAGAAGTGCAACGAACATGGAAATGCATCTTTAGATGCTCCACACCCCTGCTATCCTTCTCGACTGTTGCCGCGATCGGCCGCGCCCGGCGCCACTTGTTGTGCGTCTCTTCGCCGTGAGCAGCAATCTTCTTTGGGTCACCGGGCGAAAGAAGGGCGACGCAGCGAGGGTCGGCACGGATCCGGTCAACGGCTCGGTTGAAGTAGGCGGTTTTGGACTCTGGGGAGAACACGTCGGTGAAGAGTAGGTAGGCGATTCCTCCCTGTGTGGTAGAGTTAGTATCAAACACACGCTAGAGTGAGCGATGGATTGGAGAAAAGCGTACGGTCAAAACTACACCCAAAATCACCAGACCAAAGTTGAACGTTTGCTGGACGGCGCGCCCGGCTTTTTCACCGGTGGAGAGCCGAGTCCAGGGCACATGGCCATCATCATTGAAGGGCGTTACAGATCTCCTCTTGGAACTTTCTTGCGTAGTCGCATATTGCCGGCGCGATGAGACGAGAATGACGCTAGCTGCTCTCGAAGCTGTGGTAATGGTTGCTTGTTGACGGACCACGGCGGGGCTCAGAAGAAGCCTCACACCAGCCGAAGTACCTGTGAGCATTTTCATCATGGAGGCTTCAACACAACACCCATATTTCAACGGCAATGTTTCAGCCGTTTGCGATTGTTATGAGAGCTTCAATGAGAGAGGTCCGAACGAAGCTGTGATGAGCTGCGGTTGGATGAAGCTTTGGAACCGTTTGCCGGCACGGCATCTTTCCCGGCGAGGGGTGGAGTCCGTGTTGCGCTCCACTACCTAGTGTAGAGACGGGACTGTGTGCCAAGGCGCCAAGAAGCCGCATGGAAGGGCGAACCTGAGCAAGCGTCTGACTCTGGCTGGGGAACACAAAGAAATGTGGCCCCTGCCCTGAGTCTGACAGCGTTCCAGTGGACGTTCCAATACCATACATACTACAGGTAGGTTGCCAGGCAGCCCGGCTCTCTCCGCTGGGGCTCCCCGTCTCCTTCCCTTCTGCCCCCTTTTTTCACCTTTCCCCCTGACGGCAGCACCTACTACCGACCCTGACAACCTAACCGAGCAAAGGGGTCATCAACAACGACAGTCGAGATCTAGTGACACATCACAACCCTGGCAAAGGACAGACATACCTCTCCGAACGATCACCGGACTCCCGATCGACAAGATGAGCGGTCTCGCGACAAAGCAGCAGTCGCTCAAGCTGTTTGAGAAGCTCAAGGCGAAGCCAGCCAACAAGGTATGCGCCCACGCGAGCAACGATCGATCCTAGACATCCAGAAAGCTAACTGCTGCCTCCCTCCCACCAACAACAGATCTGCTTCGACTGCGGCCAAAAGAACCCAACATGGACCTCGGTCCCCTTTGGCATCTACCTCTGCCTTGATTGCTCGGCCAACCATCGCAACCTCGGCGTTCACATTTCCTTTGTGCGGTCTACTAACCTCGACCGTATGTGTCCTCTCGATCTCTACTTCACGACGCGACACCCCGCCCGCTAACGCGAACCTTATTCTTGTACAGAATGGCAATGGGATCAGCTACGGATCATGAAGGTGGGCGGCAATGAGTCGGCAACCAAGTTCTTCCAGCAAAACGGTGGTTCCGCCGCCTTGAACAGCAAGGACCCCAAGACCAAGTACCAATCTGCTGCCGCGACCAAGTACAAGGAGGAGCTCAAGAAGAGGGCTGCTAGGGACGCCCGCGAGTATGCAATACCCCCACCCCTCAGTTACACAAACCCGTTCTATTACACGTTACATGAAACGGAATGCTGACGCGCTGTCTGCCTCCCACCCAGATACCCCGAAGAAGTCGTCATCACCGACGGTGACGACGCCACATGCAGCAACACCCCGGCCGGCGAGCCCGACGACGACTTCTTTTCCTCGTGGGACAAGCCCGCCATCAAGAAGCCCACGCCACCCATTTCCCGCACTTCCACACCCCCCGTCATCGGCCGCACCGCCTCCCCGCTCCTCGGCAACGGCAAGGACATCCAGCGCACTTCCTCGCCGCTCTCCAAGACCGATTCCGATGCTCCCACTCCCGCCCCCGCCGCCAGCCGCATCACTACCTCCGCGGCCCTAAGGAAAACTACCCCCGGCAGCAGCACCACCGGCGGCCCGCGCAAGGTGGGCGGCGGCATCCTAGGCGCCAAGAAGCCCGCGGCTAAGCTGGGCGTCAAGAAGATCTCGGCGGACCTGATCGATTTCGACGAGGCGGAGAAGAAGGCCAAGGAGGAGGCGGAGCGCATCGAGAAGCTGGGTTACGATCCCGAGGCGGAGGAGGAGAAGGCGGCGAAGAAGGCCGAGACCAAGACCAACAATATCATCACCCCTGCTGCGGCGCCAGTCAGCTCCTCCAGTTCGAGGTCCGCGGCGCAGGAGAAGTCGGCTGCTGAGGTGGAGAGGCTGGGTATGGGTGTCAGGAAGCTAGGTTTCGGTATGGTGGGCAAGCCCGGTGGTGCCGGTGCTGTGGGCGCGGGAGGAGCGGCGGCGGCGAAGAAGAATGCGGGTGGGTTTGGAAGTGTTGGGCCTATTAAGGCTAGTGAGGGTATGTTCTCTTTCCCCTTTTCTTCTTTGGCCCTCTTTATACCTCCTGCTAATATGACGAAACAACACAGCCGACGAAGAACAATACGCCCGCAACAAGTTCGCCAACCAAAAGGCCATCTCCTCGGACGAGTTTTTCAACAAGGGCAACTACGACCCCTCGGTCAAGGCCGAGACCAAGGCCCGTCTACAAGGCTTCGAGGGTGCCCAGGCCATCTCTTCCAATGCCTACTTTGGCCGTCCCGAGGAGGACGCGCCCGCCGAAGACTACGGCGACCTCGAGTCTGCCGCCAAGGACTTCATTCGCAAGTTTGGTATCACTGCCAGCGATGATTTGGAGAACCTTACGCAGATGGTGGGCGAGGGTGCCGGGAGGTTGCAGGGTGCTATCAGGGCTTATCTTGGGAGCTGAGCGGTGGAAATGGAAGAATGAGGCAGTGTGGGTGGGCAGGACGTGATGGGCGAAGGGAGTTACCTAGTTATGAGACAGAAAGATGTGACGAGCGGATAAGGCTTTTTAGTAAAAATCAGTATTTGTAGTGTAATGGTGAATGAACGTTTTAGAGAGAGCACTAGCAGTATGCAGTGGGCAGATGATGCGGTTTTCTGGCATCTGGCCAAGAGGATGACGGTCAGGGTCTGGACAGGCTGTTCTCACACCCGTAGGGGGGTCTTAGTAAGTGACCACGGTAAGTATTTGAGCAAAAAGAAAGAGACATGGTATTCTATAGCGTACTGTTTTTCGATTCCCGGTGGCATTTGAGGTTAGAGGGGAAAGATCGTGATGTTGATGGGTTTTAGCGAGATTTTGCTGAGAACTGACTCGCGCAACCAAAATGGAAGCTACTGATATAAGACCCATTTTTGGCAAAATTCTACCAATAACAACAGCTGGTCCGATGGTGTAGTTGGTTATCACGTCAGTCTAACACACTGAAGGTCCCCAGATCGAGCCTGGGTCGGATCATGAAGCAATTCTTTTTTTGCCTGTTTTTTTTATTTATCTTTGTCCCTTATATTCTCGGATCCCCCCTCCCCCCCCCCCCTTTATTTTTCTTTTTCTTCTTTACTTTTCTTTCTATTCTTTTTTTTCTGGGCCCAGCTCCGCAGTGGTCATTTTTTTTGTTGGGGGGGGGGGGGGGGCTTGCTGTGCATCAGTCTGTCCTCGTCCAGGTAGGTTCTCGCCAATATGGACCCTTGCAAGACCGAGTGTTGTTGCCATGCAGATGGTGGAGATATCCATAGGGAAGGCATGATGGAGACCCTAGGGTTTCGCTTAGACCGAGCTGAAATAAGGCGTTATTTATGGCTCTGATATGGGCGGTATTGCCTGGAAATGGGACTGGAATGACGGAATGCGGCATGGGCCGTTTCATCAAGGTGTACGATCTCACTCGGACAGATTTTAGCGTTGGGGATTATGGTAAATACAAAGACACGATCGTCATGTGTTATGTTGAGCTTTGTTTCCTTAATTCTCAAGGATAGAGGGGAAATTGAAGCTGAGCGGCGGTCACCTTTCCCTCAGTTTGTACTTCTTGTTTTTGTCCTCCGTGTAGTTTCCTTCTTGTTCACTCTCTTGTCTCCTTACCTCTCCCAAGAAGAGACAAATACGTCACGATAAAAACACTGCAATTTCATGACCACGTTCTCATAAACCGCCTTGATCAGTTTTGCGTCTTCCAAGCTTAACGTGACCAAGTCAAAGTTGCCGTAAACACATCGATGAGTGATGTTGTGCAGCAACAGGCCACCGTCATCCCCAACCATCCGTTGCCAGGTTGCTGCGGCGTTGAACTTGGTAAACTCTTTTTCCTTGCCATTAGGGCCGAAGTTGGCTTCCCACGAAGGCTGAGACTCGAGAGACTGGCCGAACCAGACTTCGAGGATCAAGATGCCGAGGCTGAGCAAGATATCTCCATGGTCATGAGGTCTCGATGTATGTAACGTTGATTCTGCTGCAGACTCTCTGCCTTTGTGGTTCTGGGCATTGCTGGTGTCATTTCTGGGAATCAGGAAAGGCATTTCAGTGTTGACGCTCCCGTCTGGTCTGACAGAGAAGTAGATGTCGTTCTTGTCCCAGTCTCTTGGAAACCAAGGACTTGGGAATAGCTCAAGCAGCGAGTGGGCAACCGCTAGAGCAATCTTCAGCCTTGCAGCTCTAGGAGGAAAACGGAGTGCCACGGTTGGAATGGTAGTTGGACCAGTTACTTCAGAAGTGCTTCCTGCAAGTATGTGTCCTAGGCTCACGGCTTGACCCACTATTTCCGGGCTGAATGTCCCCGTGGGTACGACCACCAAGGCGTGATATGAGTTGGTGCCGTCAAATAGATAGCCCAGCTGCCTAGTTGCCCGTGGGAATCTGAGCATGGAGCACAGGTCATAAATGATGTGGGTGCTGTCGGGAGCCAGTGTCAGGGGCTCGTGGTGATATGGACTCTCTGCTGAGTGAGGACAAAACTATGGTCGGCTGTGGTTGACATCAAAATAGCATAGTAGAAGAGTTGCCATTACTGGTTGCTTTCCTGCTCTGCTGACAGGTTGGAAGGGTGAGCGGACAGCATTTGGATTGATGAATTCTCCGCGGATCGAAGCTGACTCCAGAGTGAAACGCGGAGTTGGCACTTTCAAGAGGCACTGCCTCCATTATAATTTCAAAATAGAAATCTGAAGGTCCCAAGCGTCGTTTTGTATCTTAGAGCTGGAGACACCCTTGCCCCTTTTCCTTAGTCAACGGCTGTCGTGTAGTTAAGTGTATTCGTTAAATCAGCGGCCGCGGAACTCCCTTGCATCACGGCTCGGGCCTGGGCCTGGCAACGGGTTTGGAGGCAGTTACTACCTAGAGCTAGTTTATAACCCGTGTAAGTAACTGCTTTTCAGCAACTGCCACTGCAATCCGGTCATCAACAGCAGCGAGGTGTCCGACTGGCGCGACCGACCAAAAATCCCCGACTTCGCGTCCCGATCCCCGAGTCCGCAACCTTTCGCTTATTTCGAGCTCGACGGACACCGACAGATTGATCAAGGTAAGGCGCAAAGTGCTTAAGCTTTGTAAATATAGCTGCAAGCGCAGATACATCAGGCAACCGCACTTGTAGTGAAGTGGGTGGTGCCGGCCCGTATCATACTTGCTTGCCCTCCGCACCACCCAAAAGACCACATGGAACGACTCCGATTGGGGGGAAGAACACCTAACTATATGAGGTCAAGAATTAACCAAAGTGATCACATACGACCATACCCACTGGAAAACTCGGGATCCCGTCCGCTCTCCCATAGATAAGCCAGTGAGGGCCAGACTAGTAGTTGGGTCGTGACGACAGCGAATCCCT